TCAAGAACAGAGATCAGTTTCGGCTGAAGTGGTTGGGGCCTACACAGTACCTCTCCAGGCCAGGAGGGGCTGTGATCAAACGGACCCATCAACCTATAGCCCCACCTTCTCTGACTCTATTTACGAAAAATCTGTACACTCCTTCTCTTCCAGAACGAGGAGACTAATCGATCTTCCCTATACACTGCCTATCTTGTGTGATATGAGTCTCTACGTATAGATTACTTTTTTTTCCCTTAGCGTCTCGTTGCTCTATTGCCTGAAACGCCTATACAGAATTAGCATAATTATAGACAGAATGTTTATGCTGAGTCGACTCTTGTAAATTACACAATTTTAATGCCTGTGCAGATAAAAGTATTGCCCATGCAATGACACAAAGCGTATCCAGATTCTCAGAGAATTCGCTAGGTTGTGACAAGAGTTGACTTAGCTAACAGACATGTAAAATTAAAGGCGCATGTCTGAATTTCCGTAGTTTCTATTCGATAGGAGATTGTGCAAACTTGCTCTACTAAGGTATACTGGAACCGGCATGCGTCAGCAAGTTTGATTCATCACAACAGTGTTGTGCAGAAAACCTCACTGTGAGTAATCTGTGTCTGTCATTTCTCTCCTCACCCACTCATCTTACTCCTCTACTGCTTCTCTTCTACTCCACTGACTATATTCCCTAACATGCACTCACTGATGTCACTAAGTATGTGCCCCCCCGGAAACCTCATGAAACCAGTGCATGCACTGACGTTATCTCACTAAGGATAATTTGCAATGACATGATGCTCTGAGGAAGCTTCTTGACAAGAAACAGCACAACATATGGATGTCGCACGTATATAAAAATCCTGGTGACTTTTATCAATATTCATTATGAATCGCGTTGTTCTGTATTTTTCTATATGTTTAATGTTCGAATAGTTGCATGCCCATCCTAAAGATATCGATGCCTCTCTGATGAGTATCTATCTGCTTGCTGCCTGCACATGTGCTATTCTGTATCTGATATTTGCGTGTAGTCGCATGTATATGGATGTGTACTATATACAATCGCCCCCACGCCTGAATCTTCGCGCAATATCCTCAGAAACACACGGACCAAATGCGGTGCTTAAGAAAGGGATCTAGTGCTAGAGACAGTAAAGACGCCTAGCCTCTATATGACCAATGGCCTTGAAGGTGTGACGAATCAAATATAGTTCCTGTTTGGAGGTGGCTGTTGGACCCTGCTCTGGGCTCCCACGAGTACGTGACAGCCATGACTAAAGTTCCACTGCGTCTGCGCAGGAGACACGTCCAACCTCTCATGTTGCTGCTCACGGCTTCCCGAGTCACCTCTCTCACTCATCACACATTCACTTTATCCCCATACTCCTTTATACAGTTCTGGTTTTCGTGGCGTCATCAGTTGAGGGCCTTCAGTAAAGACTACCATGTGGTGGCTGTTGATATGAGGTAGTGTAAAAAAGAGAACGGTGAACCAAGTGTATGTGAAAATTTTACTAAAATTCATGATCGAGGCTTGCTCCGATGTTTTATTTTTGCTCTTATTGCGTGGACATAATATATAGTAGAATTCAACCCATGAAGTTTAGAAAATAAACAAAAATGTTGTAAGGAAACCCTATTATGTAGCTTCTCTCTCTCCATAAGGGTAGTGTGACACGACCACCCAGTGGGGTCTCAGAATACTCCTTCAACCACCTCACTGCAGACATTGTCCAACTCATCCCGCCCTCGGCACACTCTTGCTCTCTCGTCGGCCACGACTGGGAGGCGTGGTCTCATGGTGAGGTGTAGTGGCAAACACCAATGATTTAATTACATCTTTCTAATTGCAGGAGAGTACTCAGAGGTATCCGGAGTTGGTTGATAGACATATTGTCCTGAACTGTCCTCATGGAAGGTTCGAAAATTAACGTTAGTTGACTAATGTTAATGTGGCTTTCAATTTCACTATGCAGGGTGTTCAAGACGTTCCTTGAGAATAGCTGGACACAGTTGAGGAGATCTTGGGTCAGTTTCTTATCCACGTTACTCTAAACTACTCCCCCGGCCCCCTCTCTCTCTCCCTCTCTCTCTCTCCCTCCCTTCCTTTTCTCCAGTTCATCTTCTTGTTCCAGATGCCGAGATTGCCTGAGGCTCTGATCAGTCTCCAGGACTACCAGTTTCTGGAGCAACTCTTCACCAGCCACACCTCAGTATGTAGCCCGTTGTGTAGGTCTCTTTTACTATAGCAGAAAGAGGTAAACTATAGGTTTGAGGTGTATACCTTCATGCATAAGTGTCTTCATTCACACTCTGTTTTCTGTCAATTAAAAGTTTTTTTCTAAAGAAAAGTTTTTTTATAACTGATTGGTCTTCCAGTATAGCTGAACTGTTTTCTGCATGTTGCCTGCCACAGGGAGTCAAGAACAGAGATCAGTTCCCGGCTGAAGTGGTGGAGGCCTACAAGTACACGTTCTCCAGGCCCGGAGGGCTCACTGGACCCATTAACTACTATCGTGCCATGTTCTCATCTCCCAAGGACAGCTTGCCTCGCGAGAAGTGGACAATTTCTGTCCCAACTCTCATCATATGGGTACACAACAAACATACAAACACTATAGAGTGATTCCAAGAGCCCTACATCATCAATGTGCTCTATATGGAACGAATGTGCTCTAGAAAATATTCCTTAATTTTAACAGTATGGTTTGTAAGACGAGTGCCTAGTAGTATTATTGGTAGCTAAGTGTGTGTAACTGCTGGTACAGGGAGATGATGATCACGTGCTGCAGAGAGAGATGGCAGACTGCCACGACACCATCTGCTCTGACCTGACTGTGAAGTTAGTGGGAGATTAGGTTGTATGACCAGTGTTTCCCTCTCCTCTCTCCCCTCTCCAGACATATTCCCAACTGTAGTCACTGGGTCCAGCAAGATGTGCCTGACCTCTGCAACCAGTACATGACTGACTTTCTCTCTACTAAATCTGTTTCAATGTAGTTTATTTGTACTATTTGTGGACATTACACATCTTGTTATTTTAAAGAAGCTAGCACATGAGTATAGTTGATAAACGCCAGTGGAGGGCAGGAATTTTCTGTTTTCCATACATGTCTACATTGGGAGGGTTTTATCTGTGCCATCCATCAGCCTGTGCTAACTCAGTTGCTCAGTTGGTGGTTGTAGTGATGTGCAACAGATCAATGATGAGAATTGTGTCTCTGTTGAGTCTCCTCTGGTCTCTGGTGGAGGTCCACTCTCAGAGCTTTCCCCGTCTCTCCTTCATGAGCCAGACTCTGGCCAACCATTCCTATGTGGACATCAGTCTAGTGGGGAGTGATGGCAGTAGTAGTGACAGTGTTCAGTGTCATACTGACCTGTTGACATGTTGTACTAGTACTGCTGGTCCTCATCGTGGAGACTGGTATTTCCCTGATGGAACTAGACTGCCTTTCGCTACATTTCATGTGATATCTATGAGCAGCGTGTATCTCAGGGAGTTGACATACGCCGTTGGGACACTGCTAACTCACCAAATGGTATCTATCGCTGTGATATTCCAACTAATGCTGTCCATGATGATACTGACATCTCAGTGAGAGACACAGTCTATGTGGGACTGTATACTTCCAGTGGAGGTAAATTTAATTATTGGCTACTTCCATTTCTTGTTAGATATCAGCTAGCATGAATGCATCCACGACTTACCTGTCCACATGCATGGCCTATTCCAGTAACTACTGCACTCACTTACAGTTACTATGTTTTGCTGATTACCAATTATATAGGATATATTAGGACCCTTAGGCTTTGGTTCTTTACTGTAGGAGGCATCTCAATATCTGGAGGAGTGACATTCAACCCTAGCCAGCTGACCCTCACCTGTATCTCCACTGGTGGGCCTGCTACCTCTGTCACTTGGACCAGAGACAATGTCAATATCACTGGAGAGCAAAATGAGACTGTTTTAAACGACCCAGTGACTGCACAGTACACCCACACTCTGACTGTGACTTACTGCAGGACAGTACACGTGTACTGTGGCTAATAACAAGCCATCTTCTGATTCAGCTAGCATCACTTGTAACAGGTAAAATGTCCACAAATCACTATTTTGGCATGCAGGGTAAAAACCAACGAACACTAGAGGAATGCAACGCATTTTGGCAACTGAAGCAAGCAGTTCTAAATATTTTCTGTGTGTTACGGTATGTGTCCTTGCATTCAGACAGGCTCGCTGCTCGCCAATTATGTGAAATGAGGACATAAATGCACGTTTAACTCTCAGTGTTGATAGAGCTACGGGTATATACTCTCCAAGTGTTTGTGAATTATGTGGGCAATAAAGTAATCTGCTCAATAGTTGCAAAAGTGTCACTGCAGCCTAAGGTCGGCAGGTCAACAGCATGATTTCCTCAATACTACAAATTGAAAGTTCCTATGGATACAGTTTCAGGTTCCTACTTCCCACTGGTATATAGTATCTTGAGTGGTTTACTTTCAGGTCCCCCACCTCCCACTGATGTGACAGCAGTCCAGGATGGTCCCACTAGTATCACAGTGACCTGGACTCCTCCCTCTCCACTGGAAGATACCACTGGCTACAGGATCTCCTTCACTGGAGGCAGTGATGTGGATATTGATGGTGGCTCTACCAACAGCTACACTCTGACTGGTCTCACCAATGCACAGACATACATCATATCCATTGTAGCAATATCTCCAAATAGACCAACTAGTGCTCCTTTTGAAGTTCGAGGAATCACATTAGGTTAGACCCAAACACTGCTGAATATGTTCTGTCACTGACTCATTCTCCATTCATCAGTGGGTGTTCCAGAGAAACCAGTTGTAGATATGGACAGCATTGAGACTTCGCCCACAATCACTATCTTCTGGAGCCTTCCTCCTGATGTAACTGGCTCTGAGGTGAGCTGGGAGCTAACAGAGCAGACCAGAAGAAGAAGACGAGTCCGCAATGCTGAGAGAGGGACTAGTGGACCACTCTCTGCAGACGAGAACAGCTACACTATCGACAAGCTGAGATATGGAACTAGCTATGACATCACTGTTACAGTCTTCAACCCTGCTGGGAGCTCTTCCACCACCTTCACTCGCTCTACTGAGGGAGGAAGTGAGTTTCATAAAATCATTTCACTATCATTGCCGCCAGTGGAGAAAACTATGGGAGTGCTGCCATGCCACTGGTGGTAATGAGATTCAGTAGCATGTTTATTATCATTCATTTCCAGTGATTGATGCCAACCAGAGTACTAGCTGTGAATGTGACAACACTTCAGCCATTATTGGTGGAGTAGTGGCTGTTTCCTTTATGATCATACTTCACTGACAGTCATAGTGGTAGTGATTCTAGTGCTGAGAAGTCGCAGTGGGAATTACTCTGCAAAAACAAGGCACGATCATACACTCTTACATAGTATGACATAATAAGTCATTGATTTGATACAGAGCTACAGTTGGAGCTACAAATCAATCAGTGGAGCTCTCTAAGTTCTCAGAGCCAACATATGCGTAAGTCTCCCCATATGAAACACTGTGAGCTGATTTCTATACCACTGATGGCCTCACTCCAGAGATCCAGACCAGCTCCAGACCACCAGTAATGAGGCCTACAATGTAGTGAGAGGGACTGGAAGGACAGCTGAAGATGATTATGAAGTACCACAAAACCTTCCTCCCTCCACCACCTCTCAACCACCTACCACTACTGCTACTGGAGACTATGAACCTGTGTGATAGCGGACATGGCTTGTGCACAGAGCCCTCCCCTGAACATTGTTTGTTTTTGCTACATTATGAATGTCAATACCAGTTTGTACACCTCAACAGAAAGAATTTTGTTTGTAGTTTTTACCAGTTTACGTTTACCTTCGTGGGCATCATTTCATCTCCTAATATGTGCATGGTTACACACCAGCAGAGCGGGTAATAGATACACTTGTGCATGTGCAACGCATTTAGAGATCAACACAATGTACCACGATGTACTATCTACTTATTTCAGAGTATGTCTGCATTAGGAGTGTTATCTCTGCCATCCATCAGCCTGTGTTAACTCAGTTGCTCAGTCCATGGTTGTAGTGATGTGCAACAGATCAATGATGAGAATTGTGTCTCTGTTGAGTCTCTTCTGGTCTCTGGTGGAGGTCCACTCTCAGACCTTTCCTTATGTCTCCTTCATGAGCCAGGCCTCTCTGGCCAACCATTCCTATGTGGACCTCAGTCAAGTGGGGAGTGCTGGCAGTGGTAGTGACAGTGTTCAGTGTCATACTGACCTGAATACATGTTGTGGTGGTACTGATGGTCCAGTTCATCGTGGAGACTGGTATTTCCCTGATGGAACTAGACTGCCATTCAATGTAGCTGGTGTTGATATCTATGAGCAACGTGTATCTCAGGGAGTTGACCTACGTCGTAGGAACAATGCTAACTCACCAATTGGTATCTATCGCTGTGATATTCCAACTGATGCTGTCCATCATGCCACTGACACCTCAGTGAGAGACACAGTCTATGTGGGACTGTATACTGCCAGTGGAGGTATGAGAAGAGTAACTTACTCTTTATAGAGCTCACTAGCCAAGAGTATACTATACTTGCCAGTACCATGAAATTGATGTGTGACTGTGCTAATGGGAATTCTGCTGCACTTTGTTCAGGAGAAGTTTCAATATCTGGAGGATTGACATTTGACCCTAGCCTCACCTGTATCTCCACTGGTGGACCTGCTACCACTGTCACTTGGACCAGAGACTCCACCACTGTCACCCAAGGAACCCCGACTGTGTTGAATGACCCAGAGACTGCACAGTACACCCACACTCTGACTGTGACTACTGCAGGAGAGTACAACTGTACTGTGGCTAATAACAAGCCATCCTCTGCTTCAATTAGCACCATTGTAACAGGTATATACAGTCAGTACTATGTATGTACCCATAAGATTGTACCTAGTCATTGTACATATGGCCAACGACACATTTTACGTGTGTGTCTATATGCCTTAGAAATTATTTTCACCTTCACTCGTAGGGAAAACTGTAGCTGGGTTGCAACTTAGATTGTAGTGGAAACACTATGAGTCACACTCTGACTGGTCTCACCAATGGACAGACCTATGCCATATCCATTGTAGCCACATCATCTGGCTTGTCTAGTCTACCACTACAGGCCACTGTTGGTTAGGTTGTCATAACACACAAATGTAGGTGTTTCAGTTTACACAAGAATGAAGGAGCACCGCAAACAACCTATTAACTCAACGTAGCAAGCAGAGCCAACAAGTCAACTACGACCCAAACTTTTCCCAAGGAAACAAGAAGAGTTGCCCTAGCTTTCCATTGAATGCTGTCTTTGTTTCCACCACAGTTCCTTCTGCTCCAGTCCTTGACTCAACTCCAACAGTCACTACCATTACCATCACCATCACCGGTAGTGTTCCCAGTGGCTCAGTGGTGACTGGCTATGTGGTCCAGTGGCAGAGAGACACCTCACTTGTCTGTCCTGATCTGCGTGATGATGGTGGTATCACTGTGACTAGCAGTAGTTTCACTGGCCGTACAATAACTGGACTGGAGCCAGGAAATAGGTACACCATCACTGTGACAGCCTCTAATGGAGCTGGTATATAGTGGTCCTGTCAGTAATGCTGTTACTGCAATGACTACTGCGAGTGGTAAGACGTACTATATAATCCCCAATTCCTTACAATGTGGTTGGTGTTACACTCCACAGCTCCCAGTGGTGCTCCTGGCCCAATCACTCTAGTTACAGTCACACCAAACAGTGCCACTGTCCAGTGGGGAGAGGTGCCTTGTCCCCTGAGAAATGGGGAGATCACAGGCTACACAGTTACTGCAACAAACTCAGATGGAATGGAAGAAGGAACTGCTATTGTTGATGTAGACGCTAGACAAGCCACAATCTCTGGACTGACTCCATCCACACAGTATACTGTGTCAGTAGCTGCAGTCAATAGTGCTGGTACTGGACCTACCACTACCCTCCCTGTAAAAACTCCAGGTGAGTATTGTTCTGTCATCACATATGATGTTTACTCTACTCCGTGGTCATTCTCCCCTCAATCAGATGGGCTCACTGTATCGGCCACTCCCTCATCCTCTACCTCCCTCACCATCTCATGGACGCTGGAGGACAGTTTGACTGTTACCTCCTATGGCATCTCCTACTCCAACACTAACACTGACTGTTTCACTAACTCCAGAAGTGATATCTCTGCTAGTGGGACATCATACTCCCTGGATAGTCTAGAGGAGGGAACTGAATATTCCATCACTGTCTCTGCCACTCTGACTGGGAATGGAGGGACTCAAGAAGGCAGCACCACAGCCACCACACTGACTGCTGGTTAGTATCCTAGTATTTCCCCCTGTGTGTTCCCATATTCTGATAACTCTGTACCCACAGCTCCATCTGCCCCTCCTCCTGGTGTGACTGTGACTCATGTGACCTCCTCCGCCATCACTGTCCAGTGGGGAGAGGTGCCATGTGCTGTTCAGAATGGAGCCATCACAGGCTACTCAGTCCAGTATGGAGTGATTGGGAGTGGGAACACAGAGACTGTGACTGTCTCAGGAGCTAGTACCACTCAGACCACCATCACTGGTCTCAATCCATCCACTACCTACTCCATTAAAGTTGCAGCAGTCAACAACCAACTCATTTGAACATACAGTAGTACAATTAACTGAAGGTGTGTATTCATTGCCATGACATAAGGAGTACTAACACTACTTGCTCCCCCTAGTTGCTGTCCCAGTTCTGACAGTAGAGTCCACAACAGCCACCTCCCTCTCCCTCTCCTGGACCAGTGCTGGCTCAGAGGGAGTCATGTATGAGGTGGAGTGGGAGAGAGACACCTCAGTAGGCTGTACTGATGAGGACACAGGCAGTACCACTATCACTGGAGGTTCCATGACTAGCTACACTATCACTGGACTAGAGGAAGACAGTAGGTACATTGTAAATATGACAGCTTACAATTCTCTTGGAAATGAAAGAAGTGAGCCAGTCACTGCAATGACAATGATTGCTGGTGAGTGTGGCTGACTCTGACAACATGTTAGTGTAAAAATGTGTTCTTTCATCAGCTCCATCTGCCCCTCCGTCTCCTGTGAGTGCAATGGTGGAGAGCTCAACTAGTATCACTGTCCAGTGGGGAGAGGTGCCATGTATCCATCAGAATGGAGACATCACAGGATACTCAGTCCAGTATGGAGTGATGGGGAGTGGGAACACAGAGACTATGACTGTCTCAGGAGCTAGTACCACTCAGACCACCATCTCTGGTCTCAATCCATCCACTGCTTACTCCATCCAAGTAGCGGCAGTCAACAGTGCTGGTACTGGACTCTACAGTGACCCAGAAATTGCTGAAACTCTTCCAAGTGAGGCTGATAATTAATAAGCATAGTCATGATGTACTGTTAACCCTCGATGCGAATGCCCAGCGAGGGCTAAAGTGCTAGTATGTAATTGTGCAGGGTTTGTGCTCTTGTACTTTAATTTTTCCAGGTGTGTAGCTACCTCAGTCTGAATGGTGAAATCATCACGAAACATAGCTATGTTGCCATCAGTGATATTGGTTCCAATAATAACACTGCTCTACTGTGTATTACTAACCGTCCATCTTCTGGCAATCCCCCTCATTCTGGAGGAGACTGGTTTGCTCCAGACAAGACCAGAGTAGATGGTACTGATGTTCCTGGATTTGAGAGAAACAGAGGTCCTATGGTAGTGAGACTGAGGAGGACCACTGGTACTGCAGCTGAAGGAATATATCACTGTGTGGTATTGGACAACACTGAAACTGAGCAGAGAGTTTATGTGGGATTATACAATGGAGGAGGTATGTATTGGTTCACAGAATGTTCCTGGTGTAATTGTTTCTACATTGCAGGAGACATCTCAATACCTGGGGAACTGACAGTGGAGTCAGACCTCAATGGAGCCAGTCCTCAGTTCACCCTCACCTGTATCTCCACTGGTGGACCTGCTACCGCTGTCACTTGGACCAGAGACTCCACCACTGTCACCCAAGGAACCCAGACTGTGTTGAATGACCCAGAGACTGCAGAGTACACCCACACTCTGACTGTGACTACTGGAGGACTATACACTTGTACTGTGGCTAATAACAAGCCATCTACTGCTTCAGCTAGCTTCACATTGGAGGGTATCTACTGTAATGTGTCATTCAATAATGATATTGGCTCACTTTCAGATTCCCCATCTCCCACTGATGTCACAGCAGTCCAGGATGGTCCCACTAGTATCACAGTGACCTGGACTCCTCCCTCTCCTCTGGATGGTATCACTGGCTACACCATCTCCTACACTGGAGGAGGCAACAGTGGTAGTGAGACTGTCAGTGGTGGATCTACCAACAGCTACACTCTGACTGGTCTCACCAATGGACAGACTTACACCATATCCATTGTAGCAGTATCTCCAAATAGACCATATAGTGCTCCTTTTGAAGTTCGAGGAATCACATTAGGTTAGACACTGCTGAATATGTTCTGTTGTCACTGACTCATTCTCCATTCATCAGTGGGTGTTCCAGAGAAACCAACTGTAGATATTGAGACCACGCCCACCATCACTATCTCCTGGAGCCTTCCTCCTGATGTAACTGGCTCTGAGGTGAGCTGGGAGCTAACAGAGCAGACGAGGAGAAGAAGACAAGTTGGCAATGCTGAGGGAGGGACTAGTGGACCACTCCCTGCAGACCAGAACAGCTACACTATCGACAAGCTGATGAGTGGAACTAGCTATGTCATCACTGTCACAGTCTTCAACCCTGCTGGGAGCTCTTCCACCACATTCACTCGCCCTACTGAGGGAGGAAGTGAGTTTCAGACATGTGTCATTCAGAAACACAGCTCTACAATGAATGATAATCAAATATTATTACCACCAATGGAGAAAACTGTGGGAGTGCTGTCATACCTCTGGTAGTAATGATATTCAATTATGTTTTAATTTCCAGTGATTGATGCCAACCAGGCAGAGAGTACTAGCAACACTTCTGCCATTATCAGTGGAGTAGTGTGCTGTGGTTGTGGTTCTTATAATCGCTACTTCACTGACAGTCATAGTGGTAGCGATTCTAGTGCTGAGAAGCCGCAGTGGAAATTACTCTGCAAAAACAAGGCAAGAGCATACACACTTATATTAGTATGACATAATAATTATGTCATTGGATTTGATACAGAGCTACAGTTGGAGCTACAAATCAATCAGTGGAGCTCTCCAAGTTCTCAGAGCCAACATACTGCGTAAGTCTCCCCATATGAAACACTGTGAGCTGATTTCTATACCACTGATGGCCTCACTCCAGAGATCCAGACCAGCTCCAGACCACCAGTAATGAGGCCTACAATGTAGTGAGAGGGACTGGAAGGACAGCTGAAGATGATTATGAAGTACCACAAAACCTTCCTCCCACCACCACCTCTCAACCTACCACTACTGCTGCTGGAGACTATGAACCTGTGTGACTGTGGACATGGCTTGTGCACAGAGCCCTCCTTTGAACATTGTTTTTGCTACATTAGTTTGTACACCTCAACAGAAAGAATTTTGTTTGTAGTTTTTACCAGTTTTCGTTTACCTTCGTGGGCATCATTTCATCTCCTAATATGTGCATGGTAACACACCAGCAGAG